CATTTGTTGTGTTCTAATGTTAGTAAACTCAAATGCTCATTTCCACTTTCTTGGAGACCTGGGCATTTCATTATAGTTTAACTAAGACAGCGACCAAGTTGAAAGTCTCCTTAGTAGATTCTATTGTACAAGATATGCCCAATTCTTTTAAGTTCCCTTTCTTTGCCTGTAATCAGCAGTGCCGGCCAGACTTCAGAGCCTCTCTCTCCCAGTAGCTGGGGACAGCTTCTGCTGCTGTCCTTAGTCCTCAGATATTGTCACCATAGCTGGCTTCCCCTGAAGCAGGTATGGTCACATCGGCCATGTCCACCCACAGTCACCAGCTGTCCACAGAAGCCCTGGGCTCTGAACAAACCTTGGGGCTCTGGAAGATTTTGACATATGTTTTAAAACCCAGCCCCACTATCTTTTGGGTGTTTGTGGATTTCCAAAAATCAGTCTGCGTTTATCCAACGCTGTTTCTCTATTTTTCTCCTCTTTCTCTGTTCCCACCCCCTGGTCAGCAGTGTTTCCATGAGCTCCAGCTTCCTTGCTGCCTAGCCAGACTCTCTGGGGTGTCAACTCCGCGCCCATGGGCACTATGGTATGCTTATGGCCGGTGTCAACAACGGTGTCGTTAGAGGTAGACACTTGTGTGAGTCCCTGCCCACAGGCCAACTCGCTGTCACATCGGTGTTGACATGCTACAGCCAAGAAGCTGCTAAGCCAGAGCAGACTTTCTGTCCTGCTCAAACCTCACCCATCAGAGACACGCCCTCCTGCGGGTATTGCTCCATTCCTACCTGCCCTTTCTCACAGACTTCTTCAGGAATAGTCTGTGCTTGCTCCCTTTACAACCTCACACCTGGCCCCATGTTGATCTAGCTTCGGCAGGGCACTCTCAGCCTCCCAGCGCGTCTCCCAGCCCTTCAAGTCTCATCTTGCTTGTAGATGCAGAACCACCCTCTCCTCTTCCCCAGCCTTCTCCATTCTCTGTCCGACCTCTCCCTGCTCGGGTGTTAGTCCGTAGGGCTTTGTCCTGATCCCTTGCAGGAGAACCCACAGCTCCAGTGGCTTTGATGACTACAGTCTGATGGAGGTATCCATCAAAGAATGAGACAACTTTGTAATCAAGGGAGTATACCAGATCCTGTATTAAACCCTGGGAGGATTTCTGTGGAAGAGAATCAAGCCAGCTGAACAAGAATGGCATGAGGACACACCTGTCGCTCCTGCCTGTGGCATCTGAACGCTGACAAGTCAGTAGTGACTTGGGTATCTGGAATATGCAAGGCAGGTTCCCACGGTCAGAGTAGTATACATCTGGTATTTCATGCAAATGCAGAGTAATCCATCAAATCAGGGAGCTGGATGAGAGCCCACTGTCTCAAAATGCTGAGACCATTCAGATGTATCTGTTGCCACTGGCTTTACATGCGTGTCTGTGGACAGTAAGCTGCCCTTCTTCTTCAGCTGCTGTTCTAAACAGTCTCAACCTGAGAATCCTCCTTCCTGCCAAGACTCCACACTCCTTCCCAGCTACGTTTGAAGTCACCTTACCAAGGAACTTATCCACGGTCCCACGTGTGAGCATCCAAGGACTCCCCGTCATTCTCCTGTGACTAGTGACTCACGGACAAGCCTTCCTCTACCACTCTGTAGGCTTCTTGAAGGCAGGTCTGGTCCCTCACAGCAGCCATAGGAGCACTGACCACTGACCACTGAGCGAGTGCCTCTGACAGATAAGCCTGGAGATTCCTGAGGAAGGTGGGGACGCTTATAGACGGATGACAAGACTTGGGGCAGCTCACCCACCAGAGAGGCCTGGTGTGACAACCTGGCAGCCACTGAACTAGGCAAACCATTTCCTGAGTGAAGGGAGGAGGCCAGGGGGAGAGTGGTCCAGGCTGTCCCTGCCCCGTACTGCACCGCATTCTACCAACAGACTGGAGGCACCAGCGATGTGAAGACAAGGAGAAGGGGTGGTCCGTTTATACAGGTCCGTTTATACAGGCCAACTCAGAGTGTGGGGAGGAGGCACCTCAGGCTTAACATTCTGATCGTTCCAGCCATCCAGGTCCCTTTCAAATCTATTTCTCCTTCCTTCTGCTAGAGCTTCTGGAAACTTCTGTGGCCACAACTCCTTCCTGGGCCCGAGTCTGCTCATCCCCCTTGCTCCACAGCAACGTTTGCACCTGCCCTCCGTACGCCGGTACACTAGTCGCTTTCCCTGAAATCCTTTCTCGGCCAGGCTCAGTTCTTTATAGGCTGTAGCTGGGTCACAAGCCAGTCTTTAGACGCATTCTTTGTTTTGTTTGCTGCAGTACTGGGAACCAAACCCAGCGCCTCGTGGGCCTTGTGCTTATGAGGCAAGCACTCTACCACTGAGCTAAATCCCTGGCCCTGGCAGCGTCCTTTATGTTGTAAAGATACTCTTTTTTTTTTTCTTTCTTTCTCCCTTCCTTCTTTTGAAAAACAAGTCTCTCTGTGGAGCCCAGGCTGGCCTTGAACCCATGATTCTCTATTTTAGGATGTTCGATCAGCCCAAACTGGGCCAAGTGTCGCTCCCATTGCAAACGCTGCCAGGCTTGGGGGTGTGCCCAGAGAGGTTTGCTGCCTCCTGCTTGCCGCCGCCGCCGCCGCCGTTTAAAGCAGGAAGGCCGTGGAAGGCCAGGAGACAGAACTATCAGAGAGGATGAAGTGGCTATCTGGTCAGGACTTGGCATCAGTGAGGGGCCAGCCTTTCCATCAGGCCCAAAAAACTTACCCATCCTCAGGCTGCGCAAGATTTTGCTACAAAGTAGAAATGAGTGTTATCGGTATGGAGCAGGTAGCTTGTAGCAGCCAGCAGGCTGTCATCAGATCCTGTCAATCACCAGGAATCTGAATGTGAGCAGGTGATAAAGACACCTGTGATATGGCTGTGCACCAGTTGCCTATGGCTGTCTCCTCAGATGGTGGGCTCCTATACAAGCCATGAACAGAAGAGGAGCCGTTTGCTCTTTCAACAGAGAGGGATTAAGGGCCAAGGTGTTGCAGTGATGGGCTCCCCAGAGGAGGATCCGAGGTAGGGACTCCCAAGAGACCAGAAGCCAGAGCCAACCGGGGGCCAGAGCCCTCGTCCCCTTGTTGCCCCTGTGTGGCCTGGGGAGTCAGGGACTGGTGATGAGGAGGAGCCACGGCTATCTGCCAAACTGCTGGCAGTGCCCTGCCCAGCCCTCTCCGGGATGGGCAGCTGTACAACACAAAGCCCTCAGGGAAGGGGGGTGTGGGAACCTCAGGCTCGGAAGTCACTGGAACAGAGCCAAGGACAGTGTGCCCCTTCTCGGTCTCCTTCTCTACTTTCCCCAGGTTATTCAGAGTGAAGTCTGTAAACCAACACATTTAACAAAAGACCAAGTCGGGCGGTGGTGGCGCACGCCTTTAATCCCAGCACTCGGGAGGCAGAGCCAGGCGGATCTCTGTGAGTTCGAGGCCAGCCTGGACTACCAAGTGAGTTCCAGGAAAGGCGCAAAGCTACACAGAGAGACCCTGTCTCGAAAAACCAAAAAAAAAAAAAAAAACAAAAACAAAAACAAAAGACCACAAGGAGACCCGGGGAGAATGTTCTTTTCCCCTGAGATGTCTCACCTGAGTTTCACCAAGGAGGAAATAGTGATAATTGTGGTGACAGCCACATGTTTGCAGCGAGTGTGAGACTTGACGGCACCATAGGTTTCTCAGGACAGTCTGGAGAGCTGACACCAGCATTTCCCAAAAAAGGAAACAGGTTCACTTGCCTGGGGTGGCCTTTTGGCAGAAAGGGGCAGCCCCAGGGGAAACCACAGCCCATGCGACGCCTGCTCCCTGTGCCATGACTCCGCCCTGCAGACAAGCTTAATAGGAGGAATCTTCTAGAAGCGTGTTGGGGGTCTGAAAGACAGGGCTACAGGGCTGTACTTTCTGTTGCTTTGTGGTATCAGATTGACATACAAGAACGGAGCATGAAGAGCGGGCAACGTAGGAAATGGTGGAGGAAAAAAAGACTGGGTCCACTGGGTCCACTGGGTCCATGAGGGCTTCCTGGGTCCCAAGGGCCAGACCACTCTGGGGTCCTCTGACCAGCTGACAGATTAGACTGGGGCAGGAAGAACAGCAATCCTGGAGCAGGAGATAAACAAAAACAAAAGCCGGGTGGTGGTGGCGCACGCCTTTAATCCCAGCACTCGGGAGGCAGAGGCAAGCGGATCTTTGTGAGTTCGAGGCCAGCCTGGGCTACAGAGTGAGCTCCAGGAAAGGCGCAAAGCTACACAGAGAAACCTTGTCTCGAAAAAACCAAAAAAAAAAAAACAAAAACAAAAACAAAAACAACAACAAAAAAACAAACAAACACAAACAAACCAACAAACGCCCGGAGGGCGATGGTGGCTCGTACTTTAATCCCAGAAATTTGAGAGGCAGAGGCAGGAGGATTTTTGTGAGTTTGAGGCCAGCCTGGTCTACAAAGTGAGTTGAATCCTAGTACAGCCAGGGCTACATAGTGAGACCCTGTCTTAAAATAGCATAACAAAACAAAACAACAAAAAAGACTTAGAGAGCAAAGAGGCTTCGGGGAAAAATAACAAAGACCAGAAGAGGCATTTGCTAGGAGAGTTTGCAGGACCTGGACTAGAGAGAGTCTGGCTTGATATTTGAGACTCACTCCCACCACACACACACACACACACAGAGAGAGAGAGAGAGAGAGAGAGACAGAGACAGAGACAGAGACAGAGACAGACAGAGAGAGAGACAGAGAGACAGAGCGAGGGAGAGAGCGATCATAGGGGAAGGCCTGAGAAACAAACAGATGCCTAAGTAGAAATTTTCCTGAGCACAAAAAATAACCACTGTGTGTAGAGGAGGGCAGAGCACAGCCTGCAGGAGGCCATAAGCCAGGGGAGGGTGGAGGGAGGGCGGGCAGGGAGGGGCGTGTGAAGATCACAGAGTGTATGGGAACAGAGCAGACATGTGGGCGAAAAGAATGTTCTGTTCTGTGTTAGGTGAATTGGGAAGGGGTGTTGAAGGACTTGAAGAGAGAGACCTCAGAGTCTGCCTGGTGTTGGAGGCAGTCTTGGCGAAGAAACCTCATCTCTTTCATCAGCTGCCCATAAGGCTGGTGAGTGATTGCCCACATTCCCACAGTCACCCTGGGCCCTCAACACTCCCCAAATTGGCTTTCTCATGGGCATCTAACTCATCTTTGATGTCTCATCCAAACACACTGCTGATGTGCTATGGAGTCCACATCCCTCTTTAGCTCCCTGTCCCTCTTCCAGCACCGTTAACCCATTGCTTTTGAGACATGTCCTCCAAGTGTGTCCCTTGAAAATCTTTATTCTGGTGTCTTGTGTATGCTAGGCAAGTGCTCTACCACTGAGCTACACCCTAGGCCCATTGCATCCATTTTCTTCTGATTACTGTAGACAGGGCTCTGAACTGTCTTGTTCATCAGGGTATCCTTTGTATGTCCACTGTTTACGTAGGGTTGGGGAGAGGTGAGCCCTTTCCATAGCCATCCTAAGGGTGACAACCAAGGCTCCTCCATTAGATGGGCATTGTGGTCTGAGTGTGAAATGTTCTCTGTAGACTCAAGTGTTTGACCCCTTGCTCCCCAGCTCTCTTTAGGAAGGTCGTTTTCAGGAGGCAGATCCTTGCTGGAGAAAGTGGGTTATTAGAAGCAGGCATTGGATTTTCATAACCTGTTCACGCTCTCTTTTTCCTCTGTGTAGATGCAATGTGGCCAGCCAGCCTCCTGCTCCACCATGTCCTCCCTGTCTGCTGCCATGGCTTCCCTGCCATGATGGACTGTATCCCTCTGGAGCTGTAAGCCAAAGTAAACTCTTAAGTTTCTTTTGTTAGGGTGTTTTTATTACCATAACAAGCAAGTAGCTAAGACTACAGTTAACAAGAGCCGAGAATGATACATTTTGTTTGATCAAAGTTTTGCATGACCCAAAAGCCCTCAGAAATGAAGACCCAGGACAGAGAGAACTATTTTATTAATATTTTTAAAGTGTGTGTGTGTGTGTGTGTGTGTGTGTGTGTGTGTGTGTGTGTGTAGTATGTAACTACATTAGCGTGACACAATGTTTCTGGTTTTTGGTTGAGACAGGGTCTCATTTAACCCAGGCTGGCCTGAAACTTGCCAAGTAGCTGAGGTTGGCCTTGATGCTCCTTACACTACCTTCCAAGTGCTGGATTCCAGACGGGCACCACCATGGCTGGCTGGCTGGAGCTAGTGGGACAGAGCATGGAAAAGCCCAGAAAAGCCCCTGTTAAAATTCTTCCTGGCCTCTCAGTGTAGCGTTACTTCTGCTCGGGCTTACGCCAGGACCTTCTGGAATAAAGGTTCAAGTGGGGAAGGAAGGGAGTGGCCTTTCCAGATTTCATGGCTTGCGCTTGAGTAAAGGGCTTCCAGTTCCTACCACTCACCTTGGGCACGAGGAACCCTGGTTTCAAGGATGCAGCCAAGAGTGGGGCAGAGGGTCAGGGAAAGTGCTTCTGAGAGCTTCCAAACCCCTTCAGCTCCAAGAGCCTCACACGCTCAAGTTCCCTGCCTCGAGTGGCATTTGTTCCTCTTCCCTTTAATACAAAAGTGAAGCGATTCATTTTAAACTTGAAAAAAAAAAAAGATGCTGAGAGCAAGAAAATGTCTGGGGGAAAAAAGGTCTAGGAACGTGGTATAGATGAGATCTAAGACAGGAATCAGAAGAATGGGTACGCTAAAAATCAAAGGAAAAAGAGAACAGTGGAGGCAAGGAGCAGCCACCCAAACAGACAGGACAGCTATGAGGGCGTGAGGATGACATTTCCAGGCAGCAGGTGGGAGGAGGTGATGGTTCATCACTGGTGTCAGGACGGGCCTTTAAAACGACATGGTGGCTAGGGTCAGTGGTACAGCGCTTGCCTGGCATGCAGGAAGCTCTGGGTCCAGTCTCCCGCACCACAATCAATAAATAGATAAATAAACACACAAACAAAATTGAAAACTGAATAAAAAGCATGGGTTCATGTTTTGTTCTTTATATCAAAGACTATTACAAGGAATTATAAAATGCAGAATTTTTTTCAACTATGTTTTAATTATGTATAGTGGGAAAGTATTTCCAGGGACCCCAAGTAAACAAGAAACTATAAAGAAAAAGACACAGAGACACGAAGACTGAAATAATATCAACCTTTAATTTCATAAGAAATAATACTGAAAAGTGGTGGGGGGCGCTGGAGAAATGGCTCAGTGGTTAAAAGCACTTGTTTATCTTACAGAGGACCCATGCTTGACTCCCGGCACCCGCACGAAGGTTCACAACCACTATAATTCCAGTTCCGGAGGATCTGATGCCCTTTTCTAGCCTCCACAGGCACCAAGCACACATGGGATACACAGATATACATGCAGGCAAAAACACTCACACACAAAATAAAAGGAATAAACCTAATTTAAATTCTTTTTTAAAAAATTAAAAAGTAACAGTTTTAGAAGGCAGCCAGCTTCTCCTCGGTTGCCTTGCTCTGCCGTGGAGATAACAATTTGGCCACAGTTTTCAACAAAGTAAAAAAAAAAAAAAAAACTTCACAAATTTCAAAATTTGTCTTTAAAATTACTATAACCCACCGGGCGGTGGCACACTCCTTTAATCCAGCACTTGGGAGGCAGTTAAAGACCAGCCTGGTCTACAGAAGGAGTTCTAGGACAGCCAGGGCTACACAGAGAAACCCTGTGTTGAGAAACAAACAAGAACAAAACAAAACAAAAACAAAAACTTTATAATGCAGAGCTAGTAAACAGCTCCTGAAAAGAGACTCAACACCAGTGGGCCGTGCACATATGCTTATTATCAGTAGGCTTTAAGTAAATACAGATGACACTAAGGAGATAACACCTGTGCATGTGTGTGTGTGAGAGAGTGCACGTGTGCATGTGCATTTGCACTTTTGAACTCAGAGGCCAGATGCTGGTGACAACCGTCTTCCTCAGTTGCTCTCCACCCTAGTTGTTGATTCTGGGTCTCTCACTCCTTCTCTGCACCTGGAGTTCAGCACTTCAGCTAGACTCCCAAAGGTTCAGCTAGAAACCCCGGAGATCCCCCTGCCTCCACCCCTTACCACTATATAGGCCTGCAGCCCTACATAGCTTTTTATATACGTGTTGGGGACCAAATCCAGTTCCTCAGGCTTGTATGGCAAGCACTTTGCCAACTGAGCCGTCTACCGGGGCCCACCATCAATTTTTATAGTCCGACTGAAGGCTAATATACCAAGAATGCTCATGGTGCCACAGCCTATAAAGGTTAATCATTAATTGATTTGTGATCCCACATCTGGGTGTAGAACTAAACAAACAGAAATGGAATTTGGAACAGATGTGCACTCCCATGTCCACTGCAGAAATGGTCTCAAAAGCAATCTGAACGTGTAGTAACAGATGAAGGGATGAAGGGATGTAGTATATTTGCACCCTGAATGGAAATCCTGACATGCGCTATAACGTGCACGAACCTTAAGTCATCATGTAAACTAAAATAAGCCAGTCACAGAGTCGGATGCTGTGTGACTCCACGTCAGTGAGGTAAAGACAAACTCTTAGACAGCACAGTGGTGGCCACCAGAGCTGGGGAGGCTAAAAAAGATGCTTTTGGGGGCCTCCAATATCTGCTGTCTTTTTCTTTCACTGAAATTAGTTTTATCGGTGTATATTAATTACACATAAGAAAGGGTGCCATTGTAACATTTCATCCATACATACAATGCCCTTTGGTCGTTGTGCCCTTCCACAACCCTTTCCTGTCCCACCAACCCCTCCCCTTCCCAATAGCCTCCCATGTACTTCCCTGTCTCCAAACCTCCAGAAACTCCACCTACGAGAGAAAACATATTTGCTTTTTCTGTCTGGCTTATTGTACTTAACATGATGATCCCTAGATCAATCCATTTTCCTGCAGGCAGCACAGCTTCCTCACCGCAGAGTACTGCTCATATTCCTCTTTATCCCCGACGGCAGTCCGCTTTATTCAAGCCATGGTAGAAAGTCCTCCATACTTATTCCTTCAGCTGGAGTTCAACAAGCCGGAGCCAGAGCCGGCATTAGACAGTGGCAGTCTACACATCGTTACAGCCATAGGTCATTTATTTCCATAACTGGGTGAGTGTGAAAACAGCCACGATTAAACATGTGCGTGCAGATATCTCTGTTGTAGTCTACCTTTGAATCCTTTGGGTAAATACTTTGAAGAGGTGTAGCCAGATCATGTGATATTTGGGAATTAGCGTTTTTCTGAGCCCTGGCATTAAGACAACATGCTCACAACCGTCTGTGGTGATACATGCCTTTAATCCCGGCCCTTGGGAGGCAGAGGCAAGGGGATCCCTGTAAATTCTAGGCCAGTCTGGTCTATATAGTGAGTTCCAGGCTAGCCAGGCATACATAGTAAGACCCTGTCACAAAACAAAACAAATTCACGCAAAACAACAATTTGTCAAGTCCACCAAAACCGAAGGAGGAGGTAGAGTGCCGCTTAAGAAATCCAGTTGAAAACTTTCATTCGGTTTCTGCCCTCTAGTGGACAAAAGGACAAATGCGCTGTTTGTCTCGGATCCTGTTCTGTCCTTTTAACTACAGGGATGATACATGCGTATTTACTACGGTTCTACAAATATTCTCTACAAATTAACCGTGTCGGTTTCACTCCTGACATCGCTGCCCTGCGTTTTCAGAACAAGTTCCACCCCTGCATTCTTTCGGCCTCTCAACTCTTCTTCACAGTTCGTATTTCCACTTTAAAGGACCCCCGGAGGACCCCCCTGGGTCCACCGGATAATCCCGAGTATCCCTTGCCTTAAAGTCAGTTCACTAGCGAGGGTCGTCTTCTGTCTTCGAGTTTAAAGCGCCACACCCAGAGGTGCACCACACTTTCCATCTTCACGGGTTTGAACTTCATCTTTCAGTTTGTCTCCACAGAACCGGTACAACCTGAAACCGCCTTCAAGTAAGGAATAAGAGGCGGGGGTGGGGGTGTGTTGGGGGAGTGGAATGTTTCCTTTGGTGAAAAGTAAAAGTCTTCCCCACAAAGCTCTCTGGATTTTTTCAATGTGTTCTCGTCAGTAAAATCAAGTCTCTTTCCTAGCCCTGGCTGCTAGTGTGGTTTAAATATGCAAATGTTGGCCAGGTGGTGGTGGTACACCCTGTAATCCCAGCACTAGGGGGGCAGAGGCGGGTGGATCTCGGCTTCTTTGCGCCAACACTCATTGGTCTTTTATCTCCCCAAATAGGTCCACTTCGACATTCAAGGCAAAGACAATTTTCTTTTTTTTCTTTTTTTTTTTTTTTTGAGACAAGGTTTCTCTGTGTAACGGTCCTGGCTGTCTTGGAAATCTCTTTGTAGACCAGACTGGCCTTGAACTCAGAAATCCACCTGTCTCTGTTTCCTGAGTTGCTGGGATTAAAGGCATGTGCCACCACCGCCTGGCAAAGACAAACTTTTATAACTCAAGAAAAGAACAAGAATGAAGAAATTTCTCAAAAAAAAGCCTCCTCTTCTTCTTTTTTTGTTTTTTGAGACAGGGTTTCTCTGTGTAGTTTTGGTACCTGTCCTGGATCTCACTCTATAGACCAGGCTTGCCTCGAACTCACAGAGATCCTCCTGGCTCTGCCTCCCGAGTGCTGGGATTAAAGGCGTGCGCCGCCGCCGCCGCCGCCGCCGCCGCCGCCGCCGCCGCCGCCACCACCACCACCCGGCCCAACTTCTTTTTTAATGAAAAAAAAAAAAAAAAACTTTCTGTAATAAAAAGTTTTGACTTTAAAGATTATTTATGCTCTTGGGTTAAAAAACAATTTGGAAAAACCCTGGATCTTTCTGTCTTCTGAAACAGTACCTGGAGTCACCAACTTTAGTGGTAGAAAGGGTCCTGGCCTCTTGGGACAGTGTCCACTCTGCGCTCTGAGAACACAGATCTGCTTGGGGAGACCGCTCAGTCAGTGAACTACTTGCCACAAAAGCATGAGGCCCTGTATTTGACCTTCACGTTCAAAACTGGACATGGCAGTAATCTGTAATCTGTAATCTGTAATCTGTAATCTCAGCACTGGGAGGGATGTGGAACTGGGCAGGTCCCTGGGGCTTGCTAACCAGCTGCTCTAGTTTAACTGGGAAGCTCTAGACCCTGAGGAATTGCCTCAAAAAACAGGAGAGCTGATACAGTAACCTGAGGAACAAGGCCTAAGCACCCTACCTCTGGTTTCCACACTCCTGTGCACACACACACACACACACACACACACACACACACACACACACACACAGTTCTGGGAAAAGGGACCAGGAATGTGTGTCCCAGTCAATGAGGGTCTTCAGTAAGGGGTTTGTGGTGTTGAATAAGAATGATCCCCATATGCCGAGTGGTGGTGGCGCACGCCTTTAATCCCAGCACTCGGGAGGCAGAGGCAGGCAGATCTCTGTAAGTTCGAGGCCAGCCTGGGCTACAGAGTGAGTTCCAGGAAAGGCTCCAAAGCTACACAGAGAAACCTTGTCTCAAAAAAAAAAAAAAAAAAAAAAAAAAAAAAAGAAAGAAAAAGAAAAAGCCCCTGTAGACTCATATATTTGAATGCTAAGGGAGTGACACTATTTGGAAGGATTAGGAGATGTGGCCTTGTTGGAAGAAGTGTGTCTCTGGGAGTGGGCTTTGAGGTTTTGAAGGCCCATGCCAGGCCCACTGTCTCTCTTCCTGCTGCCTATGGATTCAGATGTGGAACTCTCAGCTCCTTCTCCAGCACCATGTCTGCCTGCATGCTGCCATGCTCCCTACCGTGATGATAATGGACTAAACCTCTGAAACCAGCCCCAATTAAATGTTTTCCTTTTATAAGAGTTTGCCGTGGTCATGGTGTCTCTTCACAGCAATAGAAACCCTGACTAAGGCAGGGCTCTAGCTCATTCCAGCCAGTGCCAAGCGATAGACATCTTGGGACAACTGGCACAAGACCCTCAAGACCCAGGGTAAGAGAAAGTACCTACCATGAGAAGTATGAAGTATGAGCTGGGACGTCCTGCTGCCGACGCTAAGATTGGCCCTTGTCACATACACACAGTCCAAATTCAAGGAGGCAATAAGAAGTACCGTGCCCTAAGAGTGGACGTGGAGAACTTTTCCTGGGTCCCTGAGCGTTGTACTCACAAAACAACGATCACTGATGTTGTCTACAATGCATCCATTAATGAGCTGGTCCTCACCAAGACCCTGGTGAGGAACTGCGCTGTGCTTATCAACAGCACACCATACCGACCGTGGTACAAGTCCCACTATGCACTGTTCCTGGGCTGCAAGAAGGGAACCAAGCTGACTTCTGAGGAGGAAGAGATTTTAAACAAAAACAATCAAAGAAAATTCAAAAGAAATATGATGGGAGTAAACAGACGGCCAAAATCAGCAGTCTTCTGGAGGAGCAGTTCCAGCAGGGCAAGCTTCCTGCCTGCACTGTCTCAAGCCCAGGCCAGTGTGGCCGAGCAGATGGCTGTGTGCTACAAGGCAAAGAGCTGAAGTTCTGTCTGAGGAAGATCAAAGCCTGAAAAGGCAAATAAACCATCATTCATAGGTCATGTAATAAAGGTGTTTATTGTTCTACCAAAAAAAGAAAGAAAGAAAGAAAGAAAGAGAGAGAGAGAGAGAGAGAGAGAGAGAGAGAGAAAGAGAAAGAAAGAAAGAAAGAAAGAAAGAAAGAAAGAAAGAAAGAAAGAAAGAAAGAAAGAAAGAAAGAAAGAAAGAAAGAGAAAAGACAGGGCTATAGGCAAAGTGGCCCTGGTGAAGCCCTTTTCAGGCTCCTGGGACACCCCACAATCCTGAGCAAACTTTGCCCCCAAACCCTTCACCCTGCAGGGTTCTGGAAAGGAGGTCAGCCCTTGTCCAGTGGTCAGACCCCTTCTGGTGTACAGAGGGGTGACGCTACAAAATGCTGCCGCAGGGTATTTACTTCTGCAACACAGCATTGGATTATGTGGCTAGTGTTCATGAATTGACTTCCCAGATAGGAAAGGGAAATCCAGCACTTGGCTAGCTGCTCCTTGGCTAGCTGCTGTGGAAAAGAGAATTTGGAAAATTTAGAGTAATTCCACAGTAGGAGGCTTTGCTTTCCCAGAGGAAGGATGTCTCTTTCTTCCTGCATGTATAAATTCCGAGAAAGGACTCCATCCAGGTCACAAGCACTCCCGTGTCACACACAACAAAGCAGCCCACTTTGGCAGGGAGAACACCTTATACTGTGATTAAGCCATATCTTAATGTCCTTAGATGTTCAGTCTCCTTATCCTAAGATGTAGTAAGTTCTTAACGGAGCACTTCCTGGAAAAGAAAGGTGTGCTATGCTATGCGTAGCAGCCTTGCACTGTCTCTTTTAAGTTACTTGAGGTGCTACACTATGTTTCCATTGAGAAGTTTATTTGATCAGGGGGCTGGGAAGATGGCTCACCAGCAAAAGGCTGGCTATGCAAGTGTGAGGACCCGCGTGCAGTCCCCAGCACCTGTGTGAAAAGCCACACCCAGCAGTTCGCCTCTGTAATTCCAGTCTGAGAGGATGGCGTCGACAGGACCCCTGGGCCTGTGGACCAGCCACTGAGCTCCAGGTTCTGTGAGAGACCCTGTTTCACCTTCCAAAAGCTAAGGTAGGGAGCAGTTGAGGAACACTGGCCGTCACATGCCCATGCATGCATATACACATGCAGGTGCTCCTCCCGTGTACACACACACACACACACACACACACACACACACACACACACACACGAATGAACAAACAATGTATCAAATATTGCCCTTCATAGGCGGCATCTGCGTCCCAGTGAAGGTTTTACATGTTGCCGTTCTGAATGATGGTGAAAACCGAAAACTCATAGTAGCAACTGTTGTCTTCCACTTCCCAGGCAGGATGTGTGAGGGATTTAGAGAAATCACTCGCTACGGTTGGTTCTCTGGGCTGCAAACCACAGAGGAACAAACCCGGGACAGAGGACAGGAGCTGAGCGGGAACACAGTCTGCCGGGCTCAAGCAAAGCCACTGCCAGCGACCACGGGTCTTCCTGAAATAGTCCAGGAAAATTTGCTCTCCAGCTTTCTCTGGCTCTTAGGTAGATCTGAACCTCCTTCACAAACCCTGCAAACGGGGATTGAGACCGAAAGGCTGAAAGTCTTCTCAAGACCCTTTCTAGGAGATACTCAGGAACTGCCAGAGCACTGGGGGTTTGTCTATTTACATGTTTGGCTCCTTCCCGGCGGCGGTGTGTGTGTATGTGTGTGTGTGTGTGTGTGTGTGTGTGTGTGTGTGTGTGTGTGTGTGTGTGTTCTGGGGTCCACACCGAGGGCCTTCTGCACATGAGGTTTTCATTCTTCCACAGAGCGACACTCCCAGCCTCTGAGCTGCTTTCCAACCCGGTTTCTTTTCTCTCATTTGCAACTTGTGAAAGTTTCATATAGTCTGACGACAGATTCATCACGAGGCATATTTTGCAACAAAGTTTCTTTCCATTTGTTTTTTTCCCCCTGTTGTTTTTGTGTTTGTTGGTTTTTTGTTTTTGTTTTTGGTTTTTTTTTTTTTGGTTTTTCGAAACAGGGTTTCTCTGTGTAGCTTTGTGCCTTTCCTGGAATTCACTTGGTAGCCCAGGCTGGCCTCGAACTCACAGAGATCTGTCTGCCTCTGTCTCCCGAGTGCTGGGATTAAAGGCGTGTGCCACCACCGCCCGGTTTTGTTTTTTTAGGACAGGGTCTCACCATGTAACTCTCGCTGGCCTGAAACTCACTCAGAAGACCAAGCTGGCCTCAGACTCAGAGATCCACCACTACGCCTCCTGAGTGCTGGGATTAAAGGTGTGCACCACCACGCCTACCTCATTTGCTTCTTAATGGAGTTATTTTTAAAATTATTTTAAGATTTATTTTTGTTTTTTTTAATGTGTATATGTGTTACTGGTTTGTATGTGCATGCCCACAGAAGTCAAGAGAGAGTATTGACCCCTGAAGCTGGAGTTACAGGCGTTTGGGAACCACCTAATGTGGCTGATATAGTTGCTGGGAGCTAAATTTGGTCCTCTAGGAGAGCAGCAAGTGCTCTTACCATCAAAACATCTCTCCAGCCCCTTAATGGAGTCCTTTGAGGAGCAGAATAGTATCCTTCCCACCCTGTCGTGGTTCATCCTTGTCTCCTCTCCAGGAAATCCTTTGCCTAGTCTGAGGTCA